AGTCGTTTGGAAATTTGGTAGAGCTTGAACCGCCCCCCCCACAAAGTGGGGGTATTGCCCGCCTCCTATGAAAACCCTGGCACTGGTGAGAACGGTGTGTCCCCACGTGCTAGTAATTGTTGTTGTTGTTGTTGTTGTTGTTGTTGTTGTTGTTGTTATTGTTGTCGTTGTTTGGTTGTTTTTTGGTTGTTGTTATTGCCGTTGCTATTCTTCTTGTTGTTGTTGTTTTTGTTGTTGTTGTTGTTGTTGTTGTTGTTATTGTTGTTTTTGTTGTTGTTGTTGTTGTTGTTGTTGTTGTTGTTGTTGTTGTTGTTGTTGTTTTTGTTGTTGTTGTTGTTGTTGTTGCCGTGGTTGTTGTTGTCGTCGTCGTCGTCGTCATCGCCCGCGGCCCGCCCGCGATCCACCCCGCGACTCACCCTGCGACCCATCCCGCGACCCACCTCGCGACCCTCCCCGCGACTACCTGGCGATCCAGCTGCGACTCACCGTCTACCCACCCGTGACCCATCCACATTCTTCAACGAAGATTGGCGCCGTCGGCGGGCTCATTGTATAATTCGTTGGAAGATTCAGCGCTTGTGGCTGGCTTCTCGAAAGCCTCGCAGACCGCCGACGTCCTCGCTGCCCCCTCATTCTTGTCCGCAATTGCGGGTTGCTACGTACCTATTGGTTCCCCCACAGGAGAGCCAGAGGCGTGTGGAGTTGCTTGAGCACCAGCTCGAGGAGGCAAAGGTTCGAAGGCCTGGAGATCGGCCCAGCGCCGGCATTGGCGGCGCGCCTCCATTAATTTCGGCGATGGAGGTGGCATTCTGGCTTCCGAGGTGGCCGAGAGAGTGTCACTGGCACCACAATCTGGGAGCATCTTCTCCTGGTGGAGGCGGCCCCCTGCGCTGGTGCTGGTGCCCATCTCCAGGCCCCCGCGAGGTGCAGGCCGGGAGAGGCGCAGATGCCCCCGAGGAGGCTGGCGGGGGTGCCCTGGGCCCTCCGCCGGCGACCGGCGGCGGCCCGGGCACGCCAGCGGAGCCGCGCGCCCCCAGGCTGACCGAGCGCCGCCTGAGCGACGAGCTGCGGGCGGAGCCGCCGCAGCAGCCTCGGCAGCACCGGGAGCCCGGGCGCCGGGAGAGGCGGCCCCCCCCGGCCGCCGCCCAGGGCGCCATGCCCTGCGACCTGCGGGCCCTGGGGCAGCTGCTCTCCGGGGGCGCCGTCAAGGACCAGCGGCGGCGGCCGGGCGAGCCCGCGGCCGCGGGCGCGCGCCGGGCCCGCGCCGCAGCCGGCGGGGGGCTCCCCCGCGGGCCGCTCCGCCACCGCGGCCGCCGTGGGCAGCCTGGTCGCCGCGCTGCGGGCGCGGGCGGCGGTCGTGGTGCGGAAATGTGGCCCTGAGGGGTGGGGTGCTAACCCAGAGGTCCTCGAACGACGTCAATTGAAGGGCCTTGGGGTGTCCCTTCCCATCCTCAGGTGCCCGTGCCCCAGGGCCCTCTTGGAGCCACCGATGCGGGCAAAGCGGGCACCCCTGGGCCCCGCGCAGCCCGCGGGGGCTGCTCCTGGGCCAGAGCCCGAGGGCCGCGGCGGCGGGCCGCGGCGGCCGGGCCGCCGCGGGTGCCCGCCCGAGGGCGCGGGCCCGCCGGCTCCCGCGGGCGCCGTGCGGGCCCGCGGGTGCGGCCTCGCCTGCCGACAGGCCGAAGCCGAAGAAGTGAGTCCAGGGGCAACGAGAGGGGGGGGGGGGCTGGGCTCGGGGAGGTCTCGGCCTGGAGGTCGGAGGCTGGAGGCGCGGGGCTCGAGGTTCGCGGGCGAGGTCGGTGGTTCTCGGCGGGTTGCTGGCCCGGGGAGGCTGTCCAGCAGCTGCGCCTCGCCGAGGGCGTTCCGGGGGTGCCAGTGCCGTCCCGAACGGCCGCTGGGCAGCCGAGTAGCTCGGGAAGCCACCGTGCACAGGGATAGGCCCCCAGGGGGGTGCGCGCCGACCCCCCAATCGCCCCTTGGATCGCCGATGGTGGTCCGATAAGCATCCCGCCCCGCCCAGGATGGCTCGGATGTGCTACTGAGGGCCCACCGCCGAGCTATCGACGATGTATCGCCGAGATGCCAGGAGGAGGAGGAGGAGGAGGAGGAGGAGGAGGAGGAGGAGGAGGAGGAGGAGGAGGAGGAGGAGGAGGAGGAGGATGAGGAGGGGAGGGAGGAGGGGGGAGGAGGCGGAGGGTAGGAGGAGGAGGAGGAGGAGGAGGAGGAGGAGGAGGAGGAGGAGGAGGAGGAGGTGGAGGCGGAGGAGGCGGAGGCGGAGGCGGAGGAGGAGGTGTTGGAGGAGGTGGAGGAGGAGGTCGAGGTTCCCCTCTCTGAGCCCGTCTCCCCCAGATCCGTTGCCCCTCGGTGATGGCCGCGGGGGAATCTATGCCTGCACGTGCTGCTCGGGTCTGGCGGTCTCGCCCCGCCCGCTCCTGCCGGAGGGGGGCGCGTGCTGGCGCCGCGTGGCACGGGCGGACGCGCGCCGACGCTGCCGACCCCGAGCTCCAGCCGTGCAGCCCCGCCTGAGCCAGGTGGCGCAGGAGCGTCGCGCCTCGGAGGCGAAGCTCGAGAGGCGTTCGTGCTCCGCACCAGCCGCGGGTTCCACGCGCGGCTTCGACCTCTCGCCCGGTGTGCACTGCGGCCCGGACGGTCTGCAGCCGTGGCTGCAGGCTTGCTCTGCTCCTCGGCGCGTGCGTGTCGCCCTCTCATCGGTCCTCGGGAGCGGAGTGCTCAGCTTTTCCTGGTAACGGAATTCATCCTTCGCCGTGCAGGTGATCGGCCATGCAGACTCGAGGCGGAGAGATACCAAACGATGCCAGGGAAGTGCGACAGCGGAAGTTCAGGGGAAACGGTAGCATGCCGAAGCCGAGGACATAATGTATGAGGAGGCGGATGCGGAACATGGGGAGAAGGAGTATCGGTGGACGAGGAGTAGGCGGATTATGAAGGTATGGAGAGGAGGATGACCAGGTTCATATGGATTTCGATGATGATGATGCTGCTGCTGATGATGTTGATGATGATGATTCTGATCATAGTGATGGTGAAGTGTTGATGAGTTGATGATGGCGCTGCTGATGATGCTGTTGCTGTTGATGCTGATGTTGATGCTGTTGTTGTTGCTGGTGATGATTAGGATGATGATGATGTTGACACTGATACTGCTGATGGTGTTGGTGATGGTGCCGATGCTGATGCTGATTATGATGATGATGTTGCTGCTGGTGATGATGATGCAGATTGTGATGCTGCTGCCGATGAAGATGCTGATGATGATGTTGATGATGATTCGATTATGCTGCTGATGATTATGATGATGATGTTGATGATGACGATGATGATGGTGATGACGACGATGATGATGATGCTGATGCTACTGATGATGATGAAGCTGATGATGCTGCTAATGATGATGACGATGCTGATGATGCAGATGATGATGATGATGATGCTGATGACAAGGAGGAGGAGCAGGAGGAGGAGGAAGATGCTGTTGATGCTCCGGCTCGTTCTGATACTGACCTGATGCTGCTGATGATGCTGCTGCTGATGATGATGCTGATGATGATGGTGATGGTGACTACGACGATGACGACGAGGAGCAGGAGGACGAGGATGGATGAGGAGCAGCAGTGAGACTCTGACGCAATGATGCTACACAGTGGCGACCCCCGCACGTCACCATAGGCGTAATAGTGGAGCTCAACCCTCACCTCGAAGGGGGCACGAGAAGTGTGGCACCCCGCTTCAGCCTCCTTTGGACAAACCTGGTGGCACACTCCACCACGGATGCGGGATGAGGTCCGGTAGAGGGAAACAATTACTGAACACTCCCCCTCCCCCCCACAAACTCAATGTTGGCACGCGCTGGGGACACTGCGGTCGAAGTGCATCCCATCAGACCCACCGCCAACCTTGAACATTGGGGGGAGGAGGAGGCGCTGACGGATGAATGTGGCATGAGTGGTGTTCGCTAGTTTGTTCCGAGGCCTCTCGGCCACTTCAAAGTGACACCCTTGCGGCAGAAGACCCTCGACAGCTTTCCACAGTGCCACAAATGGGGGGCCACGAGGGGCCACCGATGTCGAGGGCCCGGGCTCCCCCACCGGGCGCCAGCGCAACTGCTTCCAAGGAGCAGAGGGGGCCCCTGCAGGCCAGCTGCTCGGGGACTCCACGGGACGAGGGCCGCGAGGGCCGCTCGACGAGCGCCGCTCCTGACCTCCCGCGCCCGACCAGAGCACTCTCGCGAGGCCTCGCCGCCGCCGCCGCGCTCGCGCGGCAGCGGCGAGCGCGACGCGGGCCGCGGCGGTGCCCGCCGCTCGGCCGGGGCAGCGGCGCGCCGCGCGCGCCGCGCGCGGGCGCAGCCCGCAGCCGCTGCCGAGCCCGTGCGCCGCTGCCGCCGCACCCGGGGGGCGCGCCGGGCGGCCCGGGCGGAGCGAGGCCCGCGGCGCAGCCCGTGCAGAGCGGAGGCGACGACACGGGGGCGTAGAGCTCCTCCCTCCTCCTCCTCCTCCTCCTCCTCTTTCTCCTCCTCCTCCTCCTCCTCCTCCTCCTCCTCCTCCTCCTCCTCCTATGGGGCGGGCCCGGCGCGTCTCTTCGCCCAGGAGCCTCGCCGAAGGCCGGGGCCCGCGTCGCCTTCTTTCAGGAGGGGAAAAACACACAGACCCAGTTCATCGTCGAATCCCCAGAAAATATGGGAAAGTATGGGAAGGGGGGGGGAAGACAGGAACCCAGAACATATGGGAAAATATGGTCAATCCTTTTATTTGTGTGTATTTGTTTGTGTGTCCTGGGGCCCCTTCATTCTTGCGGAGCCGCGGGCGCTGCGCGCGGCGCCCAGTGGCCCCTCCACCCCCTCGGGGCTGGCGCCGCGCATCGAGCCCCTGGCCCTGCCGAGCTCGCACGCGCGCGGGGGCCTCGCTGGCCTCGCAGAGGAGCACCACGGAGCTCTGGGGGCACCTCGTCGCCTCCGGGGGCGGCCTCCGGGGCCGCCCGCACGGAGG